CTATCCCCCACCCCTTCCAGGAAACTATAGATTAAGCAAGCCCGGGCATGAAAACTGCCCTATAAGGTAAAAAACGGAGACTCCTGGCCCCACAGGTAGCAGTCAGCACATTCCACAGCCCTGAGAACAACACCTACCAATAAGAAACTTCCAGGGCTGCATCTTATACATCCAATCGGTTTAAAATTATGTTAGCACACGCAGGCTCCTTGAAACAACCAAAATGTATCTTCAGTATCTCCCCCCCCCCTTTTGTCTAAAACCTATTAAAGGCTCCACTCTCCCTTACTCTAGGCTCTCAGCACAGATCAGTTGAGTTGGTGAGGTCTGAGAGCCTGAGCTTAAGCCCGAATAAACCATAAACCTTTGCTTTTGCATTTTGGTGTGTTGGGTCCTCGGTGGTCTTTTTGGGGTCCAGTGGATGGGGTACAACACTATGCCTTCATTTTCCGTGCTGGGATGAATCCCTGTACCCACGCTGCCATATGTTTTTAAATCTACTTACTGCTGAATGCTGTACATACCTTGCTGACTCTAAAAGGACATTCTTTTGTTTCTGATTCAGGAAATTTCTTCATCCACTTTCCAACAAAGTAGGCAGCATTAACCACAAGGATTTTGGTCTGGTCACTTACACTGTTGTCAGATAAAATGTTCTCAAAGTGGCCTGCAAATGGTTTTAGGAAATCACACATAGCAATTATTGCTCTAAGCCACACACATACTTGTCTATTCACTGGACATTTACCACTTGGTAGAGTTACGCTGTGTAAGGACTGGTAGCCAAGACTGTCCAATTTCAGGTCTCTTTTCTCGACTCCATCTCTGCCACACCAGACCTCCCAGAGAGATCAAGGATTGCAAATCAGAGCTTTCTGACTCAGTCCACCTTCCTGAGCAAATGAATGGACTCTTGTTTTATACCTGGTCCTGAACTGGCGGGAGTCATATATTTTACCACATTGCTTTCAATTTACAACTGAAAGGCTAGAGAGATAGCGTGGCCTTGAAGGCACAGGTGAACAACCAAAAAAGTCAACTTGCAACTGAGGAAACTGGGGTTCAGAGCGTCCAATGGGCTGCCCTAGTGTGCTGAGCTGAGAACAGGCACTTTGCTCTCCATCTCTCCACTCCTGTCCATAATACATTCCTCCTGGGAAGGCTGACAGCCTCAAAGTCAACTGTAATCTCTACAAGTTCAGTCACAGCTGTAGTTAGTACAGGCCTCAAATCCTCAACAGCCAAAACAATTCAACAATGAAAACCTCTTAATAAAAAGAGCTCCTCATATTTGAATAGCACCTGGCATTTTTACAGAATCATCATTTACATAATCTCCAACTTTCATGTAATGCTCAGGGTGCATTCCATGGGCTTTTTATAAAGGACCCTGCACTGGGTCAATGTTCTGCCATCACTGCCTTAAAATTTTCATTTTCATACTGGGCCCTATAAACTGTGAATCTGGACCTGCCAATGATACCTATGTTGGATATGTAATACTTTATTGAAAAGGAACAAAGAAGCTTGTATGCCGGCAAGTGACAGGACTTCAGCTAAAATCCTGGGCTTCAGTTTCCAAATTCAGACGTATTTTTCCCTAACACCCACCTTCTCCGGTCAAAAACATTAAATGCATTGATATGTTGAAATAAAAAGCCCTTTGAGGGAAAATACAGATTAGAAAAACTAGAAGCAAAACTACAACTGCAATTTAAGCAGGAGCTACTTTTTGCTTGTAACTTTCAAAACTGTGCTCAGCCTGATGTTATTTACATTTGCTTTTACTTTACATGTGACACGGTGTGTGTGTGTATGCATATATGCACACATACATACACATATGCACATATACTGCTACTATACATTGTATATATGTATAATGTATATACGATAGAATTTGAGCCTCACAACAACCACATTTGACAGTTCAGTAAATCTATATCCAAATAATCCTGTTGATAAATGGCAGTATGGATTTGAATCTAGGTTCTAAATGACTCCAAAGTTCTTCATTCCATGTTGTTATAGATGGACATTATCATTCATGAGTCAGTGCACAGATGGGATGCATGCTGGGCTCTCCTCATTCTCCAAAGAAGTGTGTCTCCCTCACCCTAGAAGTGCATGGCTTCATAGCCAGCAGTGATTGTCCAGCCTTCATGATTACCTGCTATTTCCCAACAGGCCGCTACCTGTATAAATACTATAAACACGTCTGTGGGAAGAGAGATCTAGTCATTGATTTGCAATCCAAACCATTTTAGTTTCAATTCCTTCCTGGCAAGGAAGACAACTCAGAGGGACTTTTAATGGGGGGAGGTGATGTCAAGGCGAGAGAGCTCCCTAAGAAAGCACTGTGGGAGGTGGAATGGGATTAATTAGCACTGCCAGAAGGCCCTGAGACTGGGAACAGATCAGCACGAATCAAGGCAGCTGAGAAAAACCTTCCACTCCAGTTTACTAGGTTTCGCTTCATTCTAGATTTACAGTTGCCTACGTTGCCATTTTTCAGTTTTGATAAAGTTGCATATTTTTGAGCTGGAAGTAACTTCAAGGATCATCAAGTTTTACTAATTTTTCCATTTCTAGACTAAAAAATGGGTCTCATGATTTACCGAAAGCCATGCCATAAAAGGAACAGCTGCATGTCTACCAGGGCATGTGGCAGCTTGTCAGGGAACCAAGAACACTAAAATGAAGCACTGCAATACTGCCAAGTAATGAGATGATACAAGAAATGCCCAGAAATTCAAGTTGTTGACATGGTTTGATGGGCAAGAATTTAGCGTGTATCCTAAAAGCATCCAATGAAGCTTCCAGATGTTCATTATTTTTAAGCTTGGAGCAAGGATTCTTGAGAAGGGAGGGTCTGCTTACTTAGCCATTCACAGCAGAACATGTGAAGGATACTTGCCATCTGTGAGATCCTTAATGGAGTTGTTGATCTGACCTTTCGTTTCTTCCAGTTTATCTTTGAAGTCAACAGTTTCCAATTCTTTTGCATATGGTCTTTTTGTAGAACTGATAAATTCCTGAAAAACATCCAATCACAAAATCACAAAGCTCTTAGCATATGTAATGGGGCTACTACACAATTACACTGTGTTAACAAAAGGATTCCTTAACTATTACTATGGATACATTTTCAAAATTGGTTACACTATATGAAATCATGAATCTGTAACTTTTCTTTGCATTAAATGTTTCACTTCTTCAGTTATAAAATATATTTTTTACAGTTTGAATCTGAAATATGCCCTACAGGCTCATGTTTTGAAGACTTGGTCCTCAGCTGGTAGAGCTATTTTGGGAGGTTCTGGAAACTTTGAGAGATAGGGCCTCACTGGAAGAAGCAGGTCACTGGGAGGTGGATCATTGGCAATATATTATCCCTAACCACTTTCTGTTACTGTCTAGTTCTGGTTCTTCATGATATGAACAGCTGTTGTCTGCCATACATTCTCACCATCATGACATCCTGCCCCCAAGTATGCAGGACAAAACAACCATGGACTGAACCCAGGGAAACTGTGAGCTAAAAATAAATCTCTCCTCTCTTAAGTTGTTTCTAGAAGATACTTTGTCACAGCAACAAGAAAAAATAACTAATACATCTTATATATGTATCCCTCTATTATGTATATGTGATATATAATCATAAAATAAAGGAAACAAACAGAAAAAATAACAATGAACAGAAAACTCTAACCCTCACTAAAATATATGAATATTCTCTGGACTCCTGATATTAAAAATATAGTC